TGTGAGCTTATAAAATAAATATATTTAATAATATCGTGTGGTTATAAAATAAATATATTTAATAGTATTATAATTCTAAATTAGTATTAAATAAATAATAAAACAAATATTTCATAATAAAAAAAATTATATTGGTGATAAAAAATTTAGAGACTAAACAAAATAATTTATAGTATTTTTCGAGTCACATGATTTAATTTTTTTATTAATAAAAAACAAAAAAAATTACAAAGTTAAATTCTCTACTAACTTAATATTAAAAAAACTAACAAAGATAAAAATTTATGAGAAAACATTTTTGTAGCAATTGACAATGTTTTGTGATGAAAATTACAGTGCTTTCCTCGATAAAATAAAATAAAAAAATATTATAGCAATTCACAATGTTTTATAAGAAAAACTATAACGCTTTCCTTATATAATTTAGCTTTATTATAATTATAATTATTAACCAACTTAATATTAAAAAAAATAACAAAGATAATTTTAGAAAAAATCATATGAAAAAACACAGCAACAATTCACAGTGTTTTTTTTTTTAAATTATAAAGTTAAGTTCTTAATCAGCTTAATATTAAAAAAAAAATCAACGGAGATAATTTTAGAAAAAAATAATAAAAAAAATATTCAAAACATTATAGTAATTCATAATGTTTTGTAATGAAAGGTACAAGCTTCCCCATATGATTTAGCTTTATTTGTAATGACTTGTAATTATAATTCTCAAACAGTTCAATATTAAAAATATAAAATTGACAAGGATAATTTTGAAATATATATAAAAAAAACCATATGGAGAGCTATTTTAGCAATCCACAATGTTTTGTAAAAAAAATTACAGTATTTTTCTCACATTATTAAATTTTATTACAAAGTTAAATTCTAATTAACTCAATATTAAAAATAAAATAAAATTAATGAAGATAATTTTGAAAAAAATATTACAAAAAATAAAGTAAAAAAAAAACTAGAAAAAAACCATGTGAGGAAAAACTATATCAATCCATTATGTTTTATAAAGAAAAACTTGTATTTACTTGTAATTATAATTTTTAACCAGTTTAATATTTAAAAAATAAAATTGATAAAGATAATTTAAAAAAAATATAACAAAACAAAAACAAATCACATGGAACAAAATACTATTGCAATCCACAATAATTTGCGAGGAAAGGTATAGTGCTTTTTTTACATATTACAACTGTAATTTTTAACCAGCTTAACATTAAAAAATAAAAAAATATAAAAAAAACCATGTATAGAAACATTGTAACAATCAATAACGTTTTAAAAAAAATTATAAAATTAAATTCTCAATCAGCTCAATATTTAAAAATAAAAATCAACAAATATAATTTTTAAAAATAAAATAAAAAAACTATATAAAAAAACACCATAAAAATTTAGAGTATTTAAAAAAAATTACAAAGTGAATTTTTTAACTAGCTTAATATTTATACAATAAAATCAACAAAAATAATTTAAAAAAAAACAAATGAAAGTTAAAAAAAAAAAGAAGTAATTTTGAAAAAAAAAATGAGAAAGTTAGAAAAAAAAACAAAAAAAACACCTATAAATTACAATAATAATCTGCTTTTGAGTGTGGGGCAACAGTGATTTCCCCCGCACCACCATTTACATATATATATATAATATAATTTTAAAAATAATAATTTTATATATAAATAATTTTTTTTTAAAAAAAATTATATAAGCGATCAACATAGTGTTTTTCATAACAAAAAAAATTATTAAATATGTTTTTATATATATACACATGATTTTTTAAATGAAAAATATAACATCATTATAAATTAAAAAAATATTTATATCATATGATTTGTTTTTTTTTTTAATTTATATCAATTTATAATGATATATAAAAATATGCCTCTATTTTATTTAATATAAGGTAGATTTCTTTATGATGATCAGCCCTGCGTTAGCTTATTTTCACCTCTAACAAAAACTCTTCATTTATGCTAGCATTTTGAGCTGAATTTTTTCATAAATTTCAATGAGAATTCGAATTGCCCTCAAGAACAGTTTCAAAGTTTTTTAAGAATGAAAAGTATTATTATTCCATTTCATTCCAAGGCAGGAAAATGGACGAACATTACATGATTATGACTTTATTTGAAGGGGAAAAGGGCAAGTATGATTACAGAATGTGCAGGCTGCAAGAGTGTAACGAGCTAGCTAAATATAGAAAGGTGGCTGCAGCACCCAGCAGTTTGTAACCAGAAACAATGTTATGAAGCTGCTGAACTCATTGCCACAATTAGGTTTATATACAGGCCGCATATAAACCTAATGCTCTTTACCTTCACCAACAGCACGTTTCATTTCGTTTTATTAATGGCAGTGACCTCGTGTGGCACCCTTACAAGCACAAGGCAATAGATCACATGCTATGGAGAAAAGAACAAAAATCATGTATGCAACAATCAATCAACTTTTGAGTAATCGAATTCCTAGAGAACCCACCTCTGTAGACATTCATCTTGATGGAGCAGGTGCTTATCCACAGCCGGGAAATTCCCATCTGGCAAGGACACAGTCCCATGAAGAGCTGACGATCATAGGGTAAAAAGGATGCCAATTACAATCTCTTACAAGACCTTCATGATGATCAAGTGTTGCAACTAGGGCTCCACTCACCTACAAACAATATCGAACTTACCTCATTTGGCTGCATCACCTATGAAATAAAACATTAGCAAAGGAATACAACGTTGATTTTGAAGAAGTGCGCTGATTCAAGTACATACCAGATCATAAATATAAACAGAACAATCACTAGATCCAGTGTAGATGTACTTCTGGCCGGTGCTGCAACACGTGATCATCAAATTGGTGAAACCCTTGCAATCATCAGAACATAGAAACAAATTATCACGATGATAAAGTAATGTCCCAAATCTGACAAACTGTTGAACAGGCAGTGTATTCGATAGGTCCAGTCCCATTTCACCTAGAAGCTAATTTCAACACACATTTTATCTTACTTCGCCAAATATTGACACAGTAAAACATGTTACCGATCGAAAACTTACAGCTGCCAACTAGGTAATAAGACTCCAAGTTATTTATCTGCTTCTGCTAAGCTAATTTTAGGGTAATATGAACAGTAAATCCAGATAAACAGGAAGAATAACACCTTGGGTCAATCCTTTGACTGACATCAGGCCTGGCTCATGGGAAATTCAAGACAGAGAACATGAATTTTAATGGCTCAAAATTAAAACACGTATCTGCACTGAGGCAACAAAGCCAAATTTAATTGACCAGTACCTATATTCTGGAGAGAAGTAACAGCGAATGAGCGTGCGCAAGATTGAATGACCTCTGTAAGTAATTAATGACTGATCACGAGGATGCTTTAATGTTTTTGCATGGGGTTTTTTTGTGGCTACTATTCTCAGGACCACTTTGATTGTTGTAAGCTTCACAACTGGAGAAAATATCTCAGAATAGTCGATCCCTTTCTTTTGTCGAAACTCTTTTACAACAAGTCTTGTCTTGAACCGTTTGCTGCCATCATGCTCAGTCTTTACTTTGTAAACCTACTTGTTTTGCAAAGCCTTCTATCCTTCAGGCAGTGTGGTTAACTCCCAAGTCTTGTTCTTCAACAATGACTCCATCTCATTCTTCATGGCTAACTCCCACTTGCTTGAGTTTCCATCTTGCAAGGATTATTTATAAGTTAATGGTTCACCACCATCTGTCAGCAAAATATAATTCAATAGAAGTGTGAACCGTCGTGGAGGTTTTATAGTCCTTGAAGATCTGCGAACAGCTGGTTCACTTGGCTCTGGATTGTCTTGCGTAGTAGTGGTGGGTACTGATGTACTTGAACTTTCTTGTAAGGACTCTTGAGTGGTAACATCGAAAAGCCCTTCTAATCGTATGAATTTAGATTTTTGTGGACTCGTATCTGAATCAGTTATCTCTGGTTCTGTACTTGATTATTTGTATTTGATCTGTCTTTGTACAAAACTTTCT